TAGTTATCCAGGATGCCATGAGCCGGTCTTTCTTGGATGGGTCTCATTTGTAAAATGGAAATGTATCATTTTTGTTTGTTTGTTTGTTTTGTGTTTTTTTGTTTTGTTTTGTTTTTGGTTTTATTTTGCAAATGTATCCTTTTACTTGTACTACTATGAATTAACTATTCCCACAACCAAATATATGGTATATTTTGAAACTCGGTTTATTTTTGAGAGTTTACAAAGAAATCACACTGCTTTTAGTTAGACATTAACAAGGTTCTTTTGAGATTTTTAATTTTAAGGATAAAATATTTGAGGCTTCAGTCAATAACCTAAAATCTTGAGGCTTCACTGTCCATTTGTCCTAGTGGTAGAGTGAAATAAAAATGATTTTCTGAGTCAGACTGGTGTCAGACTCTTTATTTGTTCCCTTTGCTCACTTTCGTCTGAAGTTTGAATAATCACATACAGTATCTTGTCAGATTCTTTTCAGCACTCTGCATCTACATAAGGTAATAACAACTTTTCTTCAGAATCCAGACTTTTGCTAAACTGTGAAAGAAAGTGTTTCTCTTTAATCATTAAAATATAATATTTATGCCCCATCTTCTATTTTAGGAAATACAAATTAAAATTTACTTCTGTTCAATATCTATCAAGTTTTATTTTGAAAAAAATAACAGGTAATGTGATATTTAAATTTGCTTAAGGTTATTATTTTTCAATCCATAGGTCATAAGATATTTGTGGGTCAGGAAGTTAATTTAGTAGTTCCTGGCCAATATTTAAATACTAAATGAACTCAGAATAAATTGCAAATTTCAGAGGACATCTTATACAGTAACAGTATATGCTGTTTCATTACATATGTGTGTGTTTATATTTAGATATGCTAATATATATTTTACTCTCATTCATAAAATATTTTATGTTTATCTTTGTTAATCTATAACATCACTAAATAATGTGCCTGGATTCTATTATTCTGGTACCATAGAGAAATTATTTTTATTGCATCATTCTGCTTTGGAATAGTGTTGTCAGTTTACAACAAAGGGCATTATAAAATAATAACAACACTACACAGAATCTGTTATTTATTTAATAAAGGAAGTGGTAGATACTGTTACTCCTTTAGTACTTGGACCATAGTTATTACTTGGTAAGAATCCAGAGGAGAAACTTACTTCTTTTTTCTATCCTAGCAATGATTCTTCTGACAAATTTACTATTTTCATGTGTGTGTATGTGTAGACAGATGGGAATTTTGAAACATTTGTAGGCTCTTTTCTCACAAGAAGATAGGATTTATGGCTTGCATTTTTATGCATTAATTTAATATTGATTTCATTTTACATAGTGAACTTTTAATTTCTCTTTGCTTTATTATTTATTTTAATCTTGGCTTACAGTTAGAATTTTAAAAACGAGATATAGAATGAATAAGTCCATATGTAGAACATTCATATATCCATCATAAGGAATGGAAATGCTGCTTGATCTGCTTCTTACAGAGTCATTATAATAACCAGCTAATAGTCAGACTGATACTTTCAGGCATGGCCTTGAATAGGAGTTATGACAAATGAGATGAACTAAATGTTTTGGATAGGAAATTATCTTTACACACTTAACATTCTTTCTTTAGAGAAATAATAAATATCTGATTTTATAAAATGTATTCACCCAAACATACAGAAGAATTATCATTTAGTGTTTACAATATGTTTAGCATCAATATTATGATTGTAGATTCTGGAGGCTGAACCCAGGGAGTTCAGTCATTCTGTGTCACTTAGTAGCTATGTCACCTGGAGCAAGGCATTAACACCGCTGTGTCTGAATACCTTATTCTTAGTGAGGACAATAATAGAATCTATCTCCTAGAGTCATTTAGAAGATTAAAGCATTGAATATATGCAGTACTGAGAACACTATTTGGCTCACAGAAATAACTGTTTAAGTTAGCAATTATTTCCATCCTATTCCTATCCACAGCCACAGAACTTTTCAGAAAAACAATTCTTTTAATGCCTTCTCTTTTCTTTTTCTTTTGCAAGCCTCAGATCATCCTTCTACATTTCAATGATATGCCTTTCAAGAAGTTCAGTAATTCCTGCCACTTGGTTCAGTAAATTGGTTTCCTTAATCCCTTTTCCCCCTAGGTTTGGAAAACTTCAATGGAGCATTGTTTATGTTAGAGAAAAGAGAAAATCTTAGGCAAGTGCGATAAAGAAATGACAAGAAAGATTTCCAGATAGGAAGAATATGCACTTGCTCTGTGAGTCCTGGCATTACTTTGATTTTAATTACTTGTCTTTATCTTTTGCTTTCAAACTTTATACTTAATAATTCTATTGATATATCTTTTTTGCCCAAGATAGTACTCAGAGTACAGCAAAGATATATATGTGTGTTTTCCAGTTTTCACTAACACTGAATATTAAGAGTTTAAACTTTTTATGTTATGTAATGAAATGAATATGATTTCTTTTCTAAAAACTTATTATCTCTCCTACCCATCTACTTTCACTATCTCATCCAATTTTCTCCCTCTTCCAAATTTCGTGTTCCATTTTCCCTCATATTTAGTATCACAAAAATAAAGATGCTGTTCATCCCCTCACATCGCTCTCCTCTATAATATTGTGAGTATATACATTAGCTAGAGTCTTGTTCTTAGAGCATCATTACTGCACTGAAGAATCAATCCAGTAAGCATGGTTCTTGCCCTTTGTAAAAGAAAAATCAGAAAAGTATGCGATCAAGTTAAGATGCTGTCTTTGAAAAAGACTAACGACGTGGATGGAACTGGAGGGCATTATGTTGAGTGAAATAAGTCAAACAGAGAAAGACATGTATCATATGATCTCACTGATATGAGGAATTCTTAATTGCAGGAAACAAACTGAGGGTTGCTGGAGTGGGGGGTGGGGTGGGAGGGATGGGGTGACTGGGTGATAGACACTGGGGAGGGTATGTGCTCTGGTAAGCACTGTGAATTGTGCAAGACTGTTGAATCTCAGATCTGTGCCTCTGAAACAAATAATGCAATATATGTTAAGAAAAAAAAAAAGCAGCAGAAGAAGGTAGCGGGAGGGGAAGAATGAAGGGGGGGAAATCGGGGGGGGAGACAAACCATGAGAGACTATGAACTCTGAAAGACAAACTGAGGGTTCTAGAGGGGAGGGGGGTGGGAGGATGGGTTAGCCTGGTGGTGGGTATTGAGGAGGGCACATTCTGCATGGAGCACTGGGTGTTATGCACAAACAATGAATCATGGAACACTTCATCTAAAAAAAAAAAAAAAAGACTAAAGCCACAGCATATAATAGGAACCATGTGCTAAGAATGTCCAGGAGAAGATGTTCTTTTCCTCACATGGTTCCCTTCAGAAGTGCAGTGCTATTTGTAGCCTCTAGATGTAATGGACTGAAAGCTCTCTATTTCTTGTCTGTCTACTTGTCCCTCAGGTATTAGCTCAAACACTGCCTTGTCTAAGAAGACAGGCCTGTGTTTTCCGTGGCCTTAAGTTCCATGAGAACAGAGTTTCTCCTTTCATCATTGTATTTACAACTTCTATTGAACTAATTGTAATATAGTGGTCACTGTTGAATTGGCCGAATTGATGAATTGAAGATGAGTAGAATTAAATGTAGATCTTCTTCCCTTTCTGATTAAAGGCAATAAATATACTGACGGTGTGGAAAAATGGTCTTGTTTTTGGGTTTTTTGGCTTTTAACATAGGATTCACTCTTTGGAGCAACATATAATAATAAATAAAATCAGGAAACCCATTTCTATGTATCAAGTTTTAATATAAATTTTGCGAAATTCAAATGGAAAGTGAATTGGCCTCAATTGAATAAAGCCCTTGGGTACTTGCTACAAGTACAGTAATTTACTAAAGGTTTTGACTGATTTAATTAAAAACTGAGTAATAGCTAAAAGTTTTTGTATGGATGCCACAATATTAAAATAGTCTTTTCTATGAAATGTTCCACAAACATTTCAGAGAAATTATCTGAAACAAAGTAGCAAATAAATTTGAAAAATATTGCATACATTATCTTGTCTTAGAGAGTCATAATTTACATTAATTTATTAAAACCTCTGAAAAGTCTTACAATAAAGAGATATGTAACTTTTGGGCACCTGGGTGGCTCAGTTGGTTAAGCAACTGCCTTCGGCTCAGGTCATGATCGTGGAGTCCCGGGATCGAGTCCCACATTGGACTCCCTGCTCGGCAGGGAGCCCGCTTCTCCCTCTTACCCTCCCCCCTCTCGTGCTCTCTCTCTCTCATTCTCTCTCTCTCAAATAAATAAATAAAATCTTTAAAAAAAAAAGAGAGAGATGTAACTTTTAAATGTATTTACTAAATGTATTTGACCATATTAACATCCCAGGGGTGTTTCAAGAGAAACACTTTTGAGAAAATATAATGAACAATTTGTATCATTTTTATATACATCCTGAGGACGGAAAATAAAGAAAGTGTTCTTAAGAGAAACATAGGGCTGTCTTGCAAGTTGAATTCCTCCTCAGAGAAAAAAATTAAACTTTTTTTTTTATAAAAACAATTTATTTCCCACATGGGAATTACCCCCTTATTAAACAACTAATAAGATATGTGATACAGAGTCATACATTTAAAGACAACCAGTAATTTGATGTACAAGGTGAAAAACTTCAGGAGATAAATATGTCCAACATAACTAAAAGGAGCTGGACTGCACTTACAAATTGCTTAATTGGAAAGGGAATTAGTGTTTTAGGAAAAGTTTTTGCCAATGAAAATATTACTCTTAAAAAAAGACCAGTATACAAAAATGTTGATTGACAAAGCCAAAATATTTGTTTCAATTCTTATATACTGTAAATGAGGTTCATATTAAATGAAAATAAAAGGCTAAACATCCATCAATATATAAAAAAGGAATTCAGTTGCTCAAATAGTAGATACAACTTCATATTCATATTCAAATCTACTCCCAGAATCATGAATTAACTTTTTAAAAAAATAATTTATCAACTACTACCTAGTTATTAACAATGACGAGTATCACTATGACATATTATTTACTTCTCCTATGCATTTATCACTATAGTACAATATAAAACTTCCAATCTAATTTTATGGCCCTGTAATCAAGCTAATTAGTACCTTAAAAATAAAGTTCTAAATATAAAACTGGTGGTTTAAAGCTCAGTAAACAGTAACCAGACATCTTCTAATAGATTTTCTTCGTCAAGAGAGTAAGCTAGCCAAAGGTTTTTTCTTTCTTTTGTGACATTGCTTCATGTTACTCTGTTCGATCCCACTTTTCTCCCAGTTAAAAAAAAAAAAAAAAAAAAAGGAGAAATAAGGACAGCGAATGTCCTCCAATCACTATTATGGGTTTGTTTCTGTTTAAGCCAAAAACCTTTAAAAATAGGTCTTTAGTTCTGGCAGATTAAATTCTCAAAAATTCACATTTTCTTCAAAAAATTTCAACTGGCGAGCTTCCACACTGTAAGTTGTATATTTTTCACCCATGTGCTCCTGCAAACGTACCTCTCTCTCCAATTCATCGTCTTCTTCCAAAAGATCATACACCTGTTCTAAAAGCTGAATCCCCAGGCCCTGGATTACATCAGCTCTCAAAACTTCAACCATTCTTCTGATCTTTTCAGAACCTGGCATGACAGCAGAAGGTAGCTCTTTAAAATGGAGGTCCTCAGCTTCTTCTGCAACTTTCCCATGAAGTATCAGCATATCCCGGTACTTCTGATGAAGTTTAACTTCTGACACTGGCTCTGGAACCAGGAGATCTTCATAGCTCTCTTTAGACTCCAATTTTAGGGTCTGAGTCATCAACTGCACCAAGTCACTCATTTCATTTGTATGACATTTCCGTTCCTTGGAATCCCCATCTGATTTATCAGTTGAACTTGTAGAAGAACTTAATTCATCCTCAGACAGACAGTGGATGAGTTTCCTCTCCTGAGCAACAGTGCAGTTGGAAGACAACCATTGGGCAGGGGCGGGCTGGCCTTCTTCTTGTGGTTTCCCTGGCCCTGATGCACTCCGAGAAGCTCTCCTCACTGAAGGGCCTGAGGGGAACACTTCTTCCCGTGACTGCTTTAGTCGCCTCCTCTCTCTTGCTGATAATGGTCGATCCTTTGATGATGACACCTCCCTGCTCCTCGAACAGCTCACAGACCCAATGGCCACTCTATTTTGGTTTTCAGCATCTTTTTGTGTTAATGTGACATCCGTTTTTCCAACAGTGGGAAGAGAAGGCAAAAGTCGAGGAGCAGCCTCCTGGAACTGTCTCTCTTCCCCACTGTGCTCAGGCAGTTCTCTTTTCTTCTGTCGTCGCTGTCGAGAGAGGGAAGACTCAGAGCCAGAACTCTGTGGCTGTAAACCTGGGTGGGTTCTATCTGGTTTTTCTCTAACACATTCACCAGCAACTTGATCCTGGTCTTTCAGGTTTTGGTCTTTGTTGAGGGGCTGCAGAGGTCTCACTGGGTCATTCCTTTCCCCAGTGACATCATCAGAGGACCACGTGGGAATTAGGTTTCTGGGTTGAGGGCTGGGCTTAGTGCCACCCTGCAGCTTCTCCTTCACTTGAGAAATACTGCATTTACTTTCTAGCTCATTAGAGGCATCTAAGTGTCTTGGCTGATTCTCCCGAACTAAGTCGTCGCTCAGTGAATTCCTTCTTTCTGCAGGTAAGATGTCAATATTCACTTTACTGATGGTGGCTAACGATTCTGAGGTATTGCTTACGTCTGGTTTGCAGATGTAGCCTTTCAGACTTGCTGGTATCTTCAAGGGGCCAATGACTATAGGTTTCTCCTGGGACAAACATTTGTCTTCACCCATTGCATATGTCTTGGAGCCCTCAGAAGAGTGTGACTGGAGGGGAACTACTTTATGACTCGATTCAGCGTTTCCAGAGACCGCTGCAGGAACAGGCTTCGACTTAGAGTCGCCATTTTTAATATTACTTTTGGAGGTTTTTGTCTTTGTGGCCTCCAAAAACAGAGCGACTTGGCGCTTTATGTTTTTTTTTTTTTTTTTTTTTTTTTTAAAGATTTTTTATTTATTTATTTGAGAGAGAGAGAATGAGAGACAGAGAGCATGAGAGGGAGGAGGGTCAGAGGGAGAAGCAGACTCCCTGCCAAGCAGGGAGCCCGATGCGGGACTCGATCCCGGGACTCCAGGATCATGACCTGAGCCGAAGGCAGTCGCTTAACCAACTGAGCCACCCAGGCGCCCTTTTTGTTGTTTTTTTTTTTTTTTTTTTTTTTAAAGATTTTTTATTTATTTATTTGAGAGAGAGAGAATGAGAGACAGAGAGCATGAGAGGGAGGAGGGTCAGAGGGAGAAGCAGACTCCCCGCCAAGCAGGGAGCCGACTTGGCGCTTTATGTAAGGCTGCCTCAGGATGCTCCTCACAGAGGGTCTTTCTTCAGGCCTTTTGCTCAGCATTGTTCTTATCAGTTCTGCCAGCTCTGGGCTATAATCTGGCATTGGTGGCAGCTTTCCTTCAATAACCCGATAAACTTCATGTCTTTTGCATTGAAAGCATGCTTCAGGGTGGCCATTTCATAAACACAGCATCCCAGAGCCCCAACATCAGACTTATAGTTGTAAGGTTTGTTTGAAAACAATTCAGGGCTCACGTAGTAGGGTGTGCCAGTGAGGGTGCTAGCCATGTCACAGTGGTTCTCTAACACTCGAGCAATTCCTAGGTCACCCACTTTGATGATGTTTGTTCTTGTGAGGAAAACATTTTGAGTTTTCAGATCTCGGTGAAGGATGTGTTTTTCATGTAAATACTGCAGGGCCATGGCAATCTGAACAAACCATTCCACCACCTGACTCTCAGGCAGAAGCTGCCCCTTCTGTTCTTTTTTTTTTTTTTTTATTCTTATGTTAATCCCCATACATTACATCATTAGTTTTAGATGAAGTGTTCCATGATTCATTGTTTGTGCACAACACCCAGTGCTCCATGCAGAATGTGCCCTCCTCAATACCCACCACCAGGCTAACCCATCCTCCCACCCCCCTCCCCTCTAGAACCCTCAGTTTGTTTTTCAGAGTCCATCGTCTCTCATGGTTCGTCTACCCCTCCGATTTCCCCCGCTTCATTCTTCCCCTCCCGCTACCTTCTTCTTCTTCTTCTTTTTTTTTTTCTTAACATATATTGCATTATTTGTTTCAGAGGTACAGATCTGAGATTCAACAGTCTTGCACAATTCACAGCGCTTACCAGAGCACATACCCTCCCCAGTGTCTATCACCCAGTCACCCCATCCCTCCCACCCCACCTCCCACTCCAACAACACTCAGTTTGTTTCCTGCGATTAAGAATTCATCATATCAGTGAGATCATATGATACATGTCTTTCTCTGTTTGACTTATTTCACTCAACATGATACCCTCCAGTTCCATCCACGTCGTTGCAAATGGCAAGATCTCATTCCTTTTGATGGCTGCATAATATTCCATTGTATATATATACCACATCTTCTTTATCCAGTCCCTTCTGTTCTTTGAGCTTTCGGTACAGATCACCTCCTTCGCAGAAGCCCATGACGATGTACAGCAGACCGTCGCCTCCCTCCCATGACTCCTTATAGGTGACAATATTAGGGTACTTCAACCGAAACAAGAGCTGGGCTTCCTGTTCAGCGGCTGGAGGCATTTCGGAGGTTCAGCTTTTTGATGACATTCTGCCTGTTGTCCCGACGGTGCCTCACGAGCGTCACCTCCCCGTAGCTGCCCCTGCCCACGACCCGCAGGTAGCAGTAGGTGGCCAGGGGCATGTTCCCGGCGCCCGCCCAAAGCTGTGATGCGGCGGCAGCGGCGGCCAGGGTCGCAGGAGACCCCGCTCAGGCCCAAGAGGCCGCTGTGCTGGCGGCTGCTGAGACTGTCGGGCCCCTACACGAGCTCGGAGGCTGGGCCCACAGCGACGCCGCTGCCATAGCGATCCCGGCCAGCGCCCAAAATTAAACTTTTAACAGAAAAATTACCCATAGGAGTTGCTGCCCTAGAGTTAGGCATCTGGGAGAGTAAATATAAAAGCAGATCTGAAAGTATGAGATCAATAAAAGGGGAAATGGGAAGGATGAATCTAGCAGTGATTGCTTTCAAGGAGGTCATCATTAAATAAAGTGAAATAGACCTGCAAGGGGAAAAATCAAGCATCAGGAGTGGAATCAGCTTGAACTGAAAGACATCTATACCTTTTGCTTCAAGTGAAAATAACAAAGAAAAGAAATTTTGTAACTCTTTCTGATTGTCTCCTTACTTATTTTTCCAACCAGCAGATGCAGATTCATTTCCTTCACCTTACACCTTGAGTGATGGGAAGTTTCAGAGGCATATTAGATCACGACAAATAAAAAAATATTTTCACAAGGTTTGAGTCTAAGCATCAAGCTATTTTTGAGAACAGATTGATGACCTTCATTTGTCAGGTTTGCCAGATGGAAGTCCTAAGTATTGAATTCTCTCATTGTACTGTATATTTTAGGAAAATGTGATCTCTTAAGTACTATGGAAGGTTTGCAATCTCAATATGTGGTATTCTAAAGTTATATAGTTTCTTTACTACATTCTATATCACCTACTAAACCTCTCAAAAGCACAAACGGGAGCTTATTTCAGTGGAGACATTTTCCTGAAAACTAAAGAAGAGTTTTTATAGATATTAATACCAGTTATTGGGAAAGTATTGGTAAATTTTAATATTTATAAAGAACAATCACAATTTAACAAATAGAATAGAATTGGGAAACAATATATCAAAGGTCTGTACTTGGGTATTATGGAGTTCTATCATTAAAAACAAAATAAGCAAACAAAAAATTTCTAAGGAGCAGAATCAGGATGCCTGGATGTTCTGGAAACTATAGCCAGAATCTATTGTCACTTACTAATGGCTTATCAAAAATGGGTAGATTAGGGGGCGCCTGGGTGGCTCAGTCAGTTAAGCATCTGCCTTTGGCTCAGGCCATGATCCGGAGTCCTGGGACTGGATCCTGTATTGGGCTCCCTGGACAGCCTGCTTCTTCCTCTCCCTCTGCCCCTCCCCCCCCCCGCTTGTTCTCTCTCTCTCTCTCTCAAATAAATAAATAAAATCTTTAAAAAAATGGATAGATTAGAAATTCATTTATTCAAAAACTATTTATTGAGTACCTATGTAATGATCATCAGGCTAAGCATTGGGAATATAATAGTCAACCTGGAAGATATAGTTCCAGAACTCAAGAATCTTACCATTTGATGGGGAGTATAGAAAAGAAGGCAGGAAGATAAATTTTTTAGAACATATTTAATGATACATTGTATGAAATAGCTTCTATTGGAGAAGGCTATGAGTCAGAGAAGAATTCTCAGAGAAACTGACATCTAATTTACAAACACCTACAAAGATATAAGTAGGCGCTAGTAAGATTCGGATGAGAAGAGAAGATGGATTAAAGCAGAGAAAGGAAAATTATGTGTAAAACCCTGAAGGTAAGGGGAATTACAGAGAATAATAGATGGGAGCATTCAAGATTGAAAATAGGACCAGAGTACTAGGTAATTTTAGTGTCCCAGTAGAAACATGAGTTGGAATAAACTATGGGAAAGATAGAAAAAACAGAATGAGTAGAAGGGTTTGAAACATATTTAATAATACTAATAATAGGTAGAATAACCATTATTGAAAACTGCCTGTTAGACACTGTAGTAAATGCTTTCATGCACTATGGCATTTATTCCTCCCAAATTTCTATGAATTAGATTTTTTTTATTAAGACAATTTTTTAAGAAGAGCTTAAAATTCACAGCAAAACTGAGGGGAAGAGACAGAGATTACCTCCTGTTCCCACATGCATAACCATTCTCATTATCAACATTCCCCATCATAGTGATACATTTGCTACAACTGATGAAACCTGCATTGACACATCATTATCACCCGAAGTCCAAAATTTACATCAATGTTCATTCTTAGCATTGTACATTTCATGGGTTTGGATAAATGTGTAATGGCATGTATCTATCATCACATAATCATACATTTTCACTGCCCTAAATACCCTCTCTGTTCCTCTTATTTATTTTTTTAAAAGATTTTATTTATTTGACAGAGAGAGAGAGAGAGAGACAGCAAGACAGGGAACACAAACAGGGGGAGTGGGAGAGGGAGAAGCAGGCCTCCTGCAGAGCAGGGAGCCCGATGCGGGACTCGATCCCAGGACCCTGGGATCATGACCTGAGCCAAAGGCAGACGCTGAATGACTGAGCCACCCCGGCACCCCCGTCTTATTTAATTTTTAAATTATAAAATTTTCTCTTCTTTGGCCAATGGGAGGCTCTTCAGTTAGCTACTAAGTCTTTTTGAAGCATAGTGCGTTAGCTATTCTGGGTCTTTTGCTTCTCCAGTGAAATTTTAAAATAACTTTATCAATATCCACATAATAACTTATAGGGATTTTGATTGGGATTGCATTAATCTATAGACTAAATAAGGAAGAACTGACATTTTGACAACATTGAGTCTTGCTATCCATGAATGTAGAATATCTATTTGGTTCTACTTTGACTGAGGTAGATATTTTTAAATGAGAAATTTTATTTTTAAATTATGTCTTAAAGAAATTTAAAAATAAAGAATCTAAGGCTCAGAGAAACTCAAGGTCACACAACATTAAGAAGAGGAATAGGGACTTAGATCCCAGCTGTCTGATTCTTTTGTTGTTGTTGTTTTTGTTTTTCAGGCTGCCTGATTCTAAAGTCCATTCACTTCTCCACTATATTAAGAGAGAAGCAATTAATTTGCTATAGGGAATGGAGAAAGAGAAGGGCTAAAGTTTTGTGTTTAGTTTTCTTGTTTGTTTAGCTGGGTTGATAATGCCATTCAATGAGATAGGGAACATGGAAAGAAGGTTAGGTTGGGAAAAAATGAGTTAAAGGATAGCTATTCCATATATGAAATATTCTTGGGATATACAACTATAGATATTTATCTATATGATATAGATAGAAGTATATAAGTATACATTTTCATTAGGTAGTTGAAATATACATCTGGAGTTCAGAAAAGAGAATGTAGCTATAAATGTAGATTTAGGAATTGTTAGTATAAATAGCAGAGGAAAGCCAGAATTTATTTCCATTGGTGAGTCTAGAATATTAGCATTATATAAAAACAGTGATGAGGTAAAAAATATGCCCTGATTGATGATGGCTACAAGGAATTGATATATGTGGCAACTCTAAGTGTTCTCAATAAGACCTGTCATTCAAAAGGATGATTTGCAAACACAAGAGATGTCCATTTATACATTCATTAATTCATTTAATCATTCATTTTCTGTGACACACATAACTACTGTAAAAACCTAATTCAAATGCACAATTTATTCAGAAATCCTATAATAGAAGATTATATGGTGCAAAAATATATTTCCATTTTTCTTTGCTTTCAGACCAGAACAAATGAGTTTCTCTTCTGAGACTAGATTCTGTATAATCATCATTTGGGGAGCAAAATGACTCAGTGAATCCATGTACATTAACAAAAAGGTTAGCATTATTCAAAAGGAGACTAAGGTTGTTTCATGTCATAGGGGACCAATTAATGAAGTGCTCACAAGAAAAAAGCACTTCCCCAAACAGGGACATTTCTGAGGGCTACATGTCAACTCTTCAAAATGCTACACACTCATAAATTCATGCCAGTGGTAGACTCTCGGAAAATATTTAAACTTCTATTAAGACAAAGGGAACCAATATGCTACCTTTTTTTTAGACTTCCAGAAGTTTTTTTATAACTATTATCAGTTGCTATTATTTCTCTTACTTCTTTGTATGTCTGTAAATAAAACAATAATTTAAGAATACCCTAAATGACAAAGATGATTATTGAATAATTCAACCAACTTTCCTGCTATAGTTTGAATGAAAATTTTTCTTCACTCACAGCTTAGTTTCTTTCACACATTCAAACTTTATATTACTGAATTACGGAAGAATCTGAATATGGTATTTTACTACTTTTATCCATCACTAATATCAATGTAATTATTTTTCTTGTTGATATAGAGAGTTTGTTCAGACCACATGTATTGTTAATTACATGCATAATACTATTATGTAAACACACATATCACATGTTCTGTGTGGGGTTGAACATATTCATAATATTATTCTTGAATAAGGTGAACAAACAATTGGGATTTCTACAGATTTTAGATTTGTTCTTTTGAATTGTCTGGGAACCAGATATATTTGATTACTTAAATCTACCCAGGATATTTCCTTGAATTAAAAAATCTTCCAACTTTTGGGGCACCTGGGTGGCTCAGTCGTTAAGCGTCTGCCTTCGGCTCAGGTCATGATCCCAGGATCCTGGGATGAAGCCCTGCATCGGGCTCCCTTTAGAGATTATGATAATCTTGTGCATTTTTTAAGAAAATTCAGTGTAGTTGTGAACATGTATGTGGTTAGTTTCAGGCAAACTTGGCTCTGAATCCTGGCTGTATTACCTAACTATTTAAGCTTTGGCAACATAACCTCTATGAAGGCTGATCTTCCCCCATATGAGTATTAAAAGAGGCAATTCTCTCAAAGCCATAGCATGCAGTAGGGACAGAATAAGAAATAATCACTTGTCCAAACGTTTTGCAGTTTGGGTATTTATAAATCAATGATAACTGTACAGGTAAATGACAGAAAAATTTTAGGAAATAGTTTTGGGAATAGCTTAGGAAATAATTTTTAGTAACAGAAAATCAGAAAAAATGTTAGGGTGAACAAGTATCAGCATATATTTTTGTCTCAATGAAAAGAGATCCCAAATCAGGCACACCAGTGCTGGGAC